TTTTGGACTTGCCCCCCACTCTGTGAGTACTGTACAGACATATTCAAAATTCTCTTAAAGGGGTGTGAGATCCCTCTCAAATATTTACATAGCCTGCAATATTTGGAGAAGAAGATAATCTTCAAAAATATAAATGACATGCTGTTGCCTTTATGTCTCTGATTGTTGTCTTAAGTGGAAAGATGAAACACCACCCACCTACACTCGTTGGATAAGAGATTGAATGCAGTTAGAGAAAGTAACACTGACTCTTAGGGGGTCTACTGATAAGTACTATAAGTGTACCATAAGAGTATCTGTTGCAAGCAGTCATTCATAGTCATGTGATGGGCTTCTCCTCTCCCACTTATTGAATTACTGAGTTATTCTTTCTTTGAATTTCTGTGGGTGTGTGGGAGGATGCTCTGCAGTTTTTAGTGTTGTTGAAATATTCACTGTTGTATCGCTTATTGGACCACTAAATGACTTTTTTTATCGTTTGTGTCAGTTTTTACTGTTTTATACAGACACGTATTACTGCCACATCAAAAAAATTAAAACGGATCAGTATCACATTATAAAGTAAAAAGTTTATTGTTTTAACAAGTGGTTTTTCACATTATAACAAGATATTTTCATGTTATTAGAAAGTAGAAACTTTTCTTGTTACAATTTTATAGTATTTATCTTGTTATAACATCAAAGGTTTTACATAAGACTCTTTCTTGCATAACTTATATTGGTATAATATGGTAATTGTTACAAATGTTTCACAAAAAAAATCATTGTCACATTATAATATGAAAAGTTTATTGTTTTAACAAGTGGTTTTTCTACATTATAACAATGTATTTTCGTGTTATTACAACATACAAACTTATCACAAAAAAGATAACAATAAACTTTTCTTGTTACAATATGCTATCTGTCTTGTTATTACATAAAATAGTTCTCATTATACTCGTATATATAATTTATACTGTTATAACGTGATAACTTATACGTTTCACAAAAAAGCGGATTAGTAGATCACAGTAGTACACAACGTATTGTTTACTAATAACAAACAATGTTTTTCCCGTTATATGACGTGAAAAACATCTTGGTATACTAATACATTGTTTTTACGTTATAACGTGATACTAATCTGTTCTTATTATATAGTATATAGTGGCAGCAATACGCTTCCGGAAGCTGCAGTCCTAGAAGATATAAAACGGGAACACATTCAATCCCTTCCAATATTAGTCTTAATGTGTGAGGCTCTGATATGTGGACTGTGTTTGACTCCACTGTGTGGTAAAGCTTGAGGCAGTAGTTTGTAGTGATATTTAATTGGACTGCTTAAACTGTGAATACAACTGCTGGACACCAGGAAATAAACCTTGCATTTTTTGTTACTTGTTATTATTTGTTGCAGAGCTGTTTTGGTGTTCCTATTATTTTGTCCATCCGTTGTTCTCGTTTGGTCGTGGTGTTATCGCGGGAGTTGACACAGAGATACGCTAGCTCTGTCAACCTATCGTGTAACTGACAGAGAGCCCACCCTGGACTTCCTCAGCGCTGATGGTGAATAGCCACTGCTGCGGTAACGGGCGGAGGAGAAGAAGCCACAGAAGGAGTCAGCAGTGGCAGAGGAGCGATAGTTCGGAGTTAGTCCTATAGATTTAGCAGAATTGCGTGTATCATCGGATCCTTACAAACCCGAAAAGGGAAGGGAAGGGGAAAATAAGGAAAGATGGCGGCCGCGGCCTCGCCGGGCTCCGGCTCGTCCACATCCTCAGACTGGATTGTACTGAGAGACGGTTGCCTGCGTTGCGACGAGGAGGGCCTGCGAAGCCTTTCCTACCACCCGGCCCTCAACGCTATCTTGGCCGTTACCAGCCGCGGCAGTATCAAAGTCATTGACGGTACTTCGGGGGCCATTCTCCAGGCTTCAGCACTGCACGGTAGGCACCGGTGCCCTCTACCGAACCCTGACACCAACACTTTGTGTTCTGACAAACCAATCTGTGATTGTCAACAGACACTGAACACGACACAGGATGAGTTGTACCCTCAGCTCAGTAACGTTAGCTCTTCCTAGCAGTTCTCTTTGGGCCTAGTTAGATTATTTGGCAAACACAGATTCATGTAACGTTAGCATGTTATTCAAAAACACACTGTTTGGACGTTATCTGTTTGTGGTCCAGTTTAAACGTGTGCCTCTTGACTGCCAATTTTTGCTACTGTTCACCACATTAATGCAACATGACATATCTACCATGCAAGCTAATAGCTAGCTAACGTTAGTTACCTTAGCACAGCGCTAGTTAGCCGGACAACCGTCCCTGTCACTTTTTGTCATTCAGGTGGTCAGTCACGATATGCCGTTAGAAGCACAATTCATATCAGGGACACCTGAAGTAACACACATACTACTGCCTAGTGAAAGACAACTTAGTACAATATGTAAATGTGTATTACTGTGATAGCCACTAAGCTAGTTAGCGGCTGTTTAGCTGCTTAACTTTACGAGCTACGGTGCGCACTGTCATTTGGAGGCATTGGGGTGATGCTGAGAGCAGACTGACTTGGTGTTGCAGACTTTGTGTAAGGGGGCTGTGATTGCCTGCCTGAACAACCTTTCTACCTGAGTCAAAAAACCAGCCTGACACTTGTGTTGTTGGTGCTGCAGGAGAGCACACAATGTCCTGTCACACAGCGCCGACAGGACATTGCATCCAAAGTTTAACAGGAATTACAGATTACTTTCTCAAGCTGTACTCCACGATCACCTGGTACCTGCAGTGTTGATTATTGTCCTTTGCTTCATGTGTAAACATGCTAGCACGTGTCACAGTGTTTGTGAAAGAGAACTGCAAGAACACACTGTAGGCAGCACGTTATTGGTACCATTTGTTTACATCATAAATGATGGCAGTCATGGATGTCAGCTTTCCTTCTGACTTTTATCATTTAACAGTAATATAAGCAATATATTCAAACACAAAGTAAACTATTGTTTGTTAGCACCTGTTGTCCATATAAACCATTCACTATGGTTTTGAGTCATTGTTGGAGGGGGAATGAGACTCCCTCCAGAGCCAGTAGCTTTTCTTAATGAGGTTGTTGACTGTAAACAGTGTTACTGCACACACAATCGCTCACATAAATACGATGCTGATGTATTTTTGTTGTTATTTATTCGCATTGGTATTAGTGTGCAATTGGTGCCAGTACTTGAAGATGTATGTGATTATTTCTCCAGTATCCACGTTGGAAATAGTGGTCGACCAATATACGTGTTTCAATGGCAGATGCCAATATTTAGGTGGCAGGGCGATCGATGGTCAATATATATAATGACAATATCAAAACAGAGAAAAGTCATTTCTAATTCTGTTCTCTTCTACAGGAAATTCAGCCATATGTTAACCGCAGGATGCAGGAGAGTTATTGTTCAGGACTTGAAACCAGCTTCTTTAGCACCTTTCCATAACTCACAAAGGAGGGGGGGCTAACATTGTTCCACAGCAGCCACACTGACAGGGCTGCCTATAGATTTATAGACATTTTTAGTTTAGTGCAGCCATTGGCTTATTGTCTCAAAATGGCAGATAATTGGTCTGATTAATCGCCTGACGGATTCATGTAGTTGGAACTGATATTGGTGAATGCCATTATTTGCAGATAGGCTGATGTCACTCAACAAGGACAATCCAGGCCGTTAAGTGGGTGCATCCATACATAAAAATGACTTTACACCTTGTGAAAGGGAGAGATTAAACAAACAATCTGGAAGCCTCCCTGCGTTAGCTTCAGTTACTTCACTTTAATTTCATTTAATTTTCAGTAAAGTCTCGCGGTTTTCAAGTCGGCGCTCATATTATATCTGTCCCCGTCAGATGTCTGTGGGTTGTGTCAGCACAGTTGAACTTTCTCTGGATGGATCCAGATCTGTGTTAATACTCATTTTGGGGAAAAGAGTGGCAAGCAACAACGCCTTGCTGTCTGTACAGCTCAGTGTGAGACTCATTAATAGAGGATGACAAACCAGACACAGAATGGAAGAAGCCTGACATGATGTTTGGGTGATTGAAAGGTTCCCAGTTTTTGTTGTTGTTGTAGAATTTACATTGTATAACATTATGATCACAGGCCTCTTGGTGTATTTACTCCTCATTGTGTTTCTGCTACCCCAACCAAGTTCATATTCCAAAATAACCCAACAGATGGAAATCTGTCGAACATTGAAAGTTTACTGTCCGTTGAATGTGACTGAAGTTCCACTACTGACCAGACTGAGCAGCTAATACAGTAAATCAGTATTCCACTCAGTCCAGCAACACTCAAGTAACAGATTACTGCATTAGAGAAAAGCAGCACTTTGTTATTGTACCCTAACCTATACTCCTTTCTAGTCTTCTGACCACTCAAAGCGCTTTTACACTTTCACACACATTTAAACACATTCACAACCGAAACTAACTTGCACATTCAGACACCGCTGACACCGCATCAGGAGCGATATCAGGTTCAGTAGCTCCAGACACTTCGACATGCAGCCAGGGATTGAACCAACAACCTTTTCGATTAGTGGACCACCCGCTCTACCCCAGAACAAGGTTATATAGTACACTGTGAGCCACAGTCACCCCCTGTGGCTCACAGTGTACTATATA